AATTTCTGGCCGTAAAGATACGGTCGGAAATGTTGGATCCCCCACACCACCGCCAGGCATTCACCTTTGCACGCTTCGTAATTAGCCTGCGCCTGGCTCAGCGTCTTGGACGCATACTCAATGACGTGCTCCCTTCCGTCCTTCCCGTGCTGAGTCAGCACCGCCGAAATCGCCTGAGGCTGCCAGTCGATGTACAGTACGAACAGTCGTGTGGGGTCAGGGCGCGCCAACACAGGAGCAGATGTCAGAGCCTCCTTCAATGCCGGAAACGCCGCTTCGCATTCCGGCGTCCAGATCAGCTCTTCCTCTTTCTTCAGCATGTTCGTGAGGGGCTTCGCTATACCGGCGAACCCCTTGATGAAGCGTCGGTAATAGGATGCCAGCCGTAGAAAAGCCCGAACCTAGGTGAGTGTAACCGGCGCCGGGGCTTCTTGAACTGCTGCTACCTTCCTCGGATCCGGTTTTAGTCCATTAACCGTGACAATGTAAAACCAAGAATGAGATCTCCGACAAGAGGAACTCGCTTTTCCCCAAGGCCAGTTTGAACCCCGCATCCTTTAGTGCATGCAAAACCCACTCAAAGTGCTCCACGTGGTACTCGGATGTCTTTGAAAAGACCAAAATATCATCCATGTACACAATCACGCAGAAATTGATCAGGGGCTGGGTTTGTCGGGTCTTGTTAACGAACTCAGCGAAGGCCATATTCATGGCCCGCTGAAACGTCGCAGGGCCGTTACAAATTCCCATGGGACACCGGACCCATTGCCACGTGCCCTCAAATAGGACAAAAGCGGTTTTGGGTCGGTCCTCCGGTCGGACTGCGACATGGTGAAAACCGTGTCGGATATCGAATTTGGAAAAGACTCGAGCGGCCCCGATATTATCTAACAAATCGTCAATTCGCGGCAAGGGATACACATTTTTGGTAGTGATAGCGTTCAATTTCCGGTAGTCGATACATACCCGGACCGAACCATTTCGTTTTGGCACGAGGACCACGGGAAAAGACCACGGTCCCAGCGATGGTTTGACCCACCCCAACCGCTCGAATTCCCGTACCCTTTCCAACGCCAGCTGCCTTTCTTTAAGGGAATATCGGTACGGTCGGCAATGTATCGGGGCGTCATCCCCGGTATCAATCGCATGTTGTATCAAAAGGGTTAGCCCTTTGTCGTGGTCCTGAATAGTGATGGCCTTAGGATACGCCCGTATAACGGCCAGGAGGAGGCGTCGGTATTCATCCGGAACACGGGCTGGTAACTGGACTTTTACGGTTCCCCCTGGAAGGGAGATCGTCGTCGTAACCGTGGGGACCGCCGCGTTGGCATCGGGCGAGGCCCCAAACAAGGAATTAATGGGTTTCGCCGAAAGGACAGTCGCAATGAGTTGACTGTCCGCCGGACTCATCGGCTCGCTTTCCATATCACTGTCACTATCCAGTTCGGGTTCGGCCGAGGGTTCGACCGAAAAGGCCTGCGTCAGTTCCCTCGGTCCCCACCGATATTCCCTTGTTCGGGGTTGAAATGACACCCCCTCTTACAAAAGTATCGCGGCCTTTTCATTCGTGAGTAGGGGTCGTGAAGGTCGAAAAGATAAATCGCACAGCCCCCTCAGCTCGGTAAATCTTTCAGGTAGGGGGTCCGTCTTGAGATATAAGGATGCAGGGGGTTCCGAAAGGTCTGCTATTCGGGACACCCTCAGCAGGGGTTCCCCCTTCACCACGGAGGAGAACTCGTGCGACCGGTTGGACTTGCTCCGAACTATTTCCAGTCGTTCTCGCCGCCAAGAATGGCGCCACCGATCCTGAACTCGGATCGGATATCGGTCGGGTACATCAGCCTTGTCAGTTTCCGTCGAGGGTTCATTTTCATTTGGTGACAGGCGTCGGATCATGTTGATTTGATGGGCTTTCGTGGTATGGTGAGGCACTGGCAGGGTACGCATGTGCACCGCCAGTCTCATTGGTATCGTTTGGGGTTTGGGGTGGGCCGATGTGAGCACCACCTTACAGTTGTCAAAGTGCATTCGCGCTCCGACCGGCGACCGCCGCCTGCCATGGAATGCCTAGCAGAACATCATACGCCTCTACATCCAGCACGATCACGTCACACAAACAATGCACCCGCCCCACCCATATAGGCACGTTCGTTATTCGCCCTTTACAATGAATATTGTCTTCTGTAGCGGATATATACAGCTCATCCGATCGGAGGGGCTGAACCTGTCCTTCCCTTCCAAACAGTTTCGTCAATCTCGTGGAAATGGGGACCGCCGACGATCCCGAGTCTAGGATGGCGGCCGAGGGGTTTTCGTAGACCTCGCAGTCACACTCAACGCTTTTCCTGGTTATAGGATAGGCTCGGAGGAATACCTCAGGTTTTTCCGAGGCAGAGTCTACGGTCTGGATCATTCCTATCCGGTCGGCTTCGTGCACCTTTTAGGTTGAGGGCTGCGACTCCTCGTTTGTGGGTAGGTCCCGCAGGACCGACTTTTTGCCCTTTCGACTTTCCTCGAATCGGCGCCTGCTTTTGAGGCACCGTTCGATCAATTTTTCGTTAGCCGCTTCGGAAATGGTTAGCAGATAGGGAATAGGGACGGGGATCCGAAGATCCAGAGCCTTCAAGGCATCCAATACGTCCATGTGGCCGTCCTTGTATGCAGGGCCAGGCGCCGCAAGGTCTTCGAACCCTTGTCGCCACGGCCCGAGGTCGCATTCCTCGGTAATTCGTTGGACGTGACGTATCACTCCTTTGGTCCCGGTTTCGAACAAAGCCGCAGCCATGTATTCCTCGGGCCCTATCTCGGTGGCCGCAGGGATCACCATTTCCGTTGCCCCGGTATCCATCACCGTGGCCACCCTCCCCTGTCCTGCAGCGGTTGGAGCAGCCAGAGGGATTTGGAAAGGCCCAGCGGCCCCCCCTTGAGCTCGAGGTTTCGGGCAATCTTTCGCAAGGTGACCTGGCTGATTGCAGTTATAACAGCGTAGGGACTGGACAGCGCCGGACACGGCCGGTCTTATCATAGGGGCCCCGGCGGCCATAGCCGCTTGTTGTCGTTGTGTGGCCGCTAGGCGTTGCCGCTGCAGGCTCTGAACCAACTCCGTCAACGGGGCCACTACCGTAACTAATTGGGCCGCGACCTCCTTCATGGACACTTCTTCCTCACCCCGACCTCCTTGTGCTTGACTAGGGCGACGGGAGGCCGAAGCAGAGGAAGACGCTTTCCGATCCACTCCTTTTTTTGCCAGACCCAACCCGAAGCGATCTTTGAACATTCGTGCCGTAGCGGAGTAGCTATTGCGTCGAACACCCGAAGGGTCATCTTCGTCAGATTCTGAGTCCAGGCCCACATCGTAATTTTCTTTCCCGTACTTAATTGCGTACCGAATTAGCTCCGTCAGGGTATGTTCTATAGGGTTGCATTTCTTGCAGATCTTTTTCCGTAGACGAGAATCTGACAGTCCTCTGACGAAATCAGTCCGTACCATTTTCTCGTCCACGCCGGAGCGTTCGGCTAAGTACATAAAACGTTCAGCATATCTGGCCAAGGTCTCCCGAGGCTGCTGCGTGTATTCCTTTATTAAACGGAGGCATTGACCTGGAGCGATGTGATCAAACCTATCGAGGAATTTCCTCTGGAAGGCTGCCCAATTGGTGAAGAGGTTATGTCCATACCACTCAAACGCGGTTCCGGCTAACCTTCCGGGAATTCGCTCTCGGAGCAACTGATCTGACCAGCCCTGGTCTTTCAAGGCAGCTAGCCAGGTGCGAGGGACAGTGTCGTCTTCGGAGAAAATGGGAACTTCGGAATGAGGAGGTACAAAGTACAGGGGATGATTGGCCATCCCCGAGTGGTTGTCGCCGTCGTTTTCACCCCCAATTCCGGGTTCCACCATCGCGGGAGGCGGGTTTCGAGCCCGGCCTCTCGCTCGGTTTTGATTGCTATTCGCGGGACGCCGTCGACGGGGAGCCAGCCTACTCAAAAATGTGAAAAATCTAATGAAAAAGATCAAAAAGAAAAACTTTAAAACAGGGTAATCGTCCTAGGAAAACCTCGGAGCCGAAACGAATCAGCTCTGATACCAACCTCACGCCCCCTTGCGGCTTCCCGTACGGGGTCGCCGATTAGAGTTTTAGGAGGGGCGTGGCCGAGGATTTTTGGCCGTAAGGGTTGAGTCTCCCGGACGGAACGGGAGGCCCTCGTTTCGTGCCAGAGGGTTTCCCCGGAGTCGAACTGTCGTCGAGGAGTCCTGTGAGGGTCGGATCACTCCGAAACTATAAAATCAAAAAGGTTTTCGTGAAAATGTACTGTCGTCGTGCATCGAGACGAAAAAGGGCATCAAGGGGAGAGGGCCATGGCGGCGGAAAACAAAACTTCGGTCGTCAGGGGTTTGGGGGATAGGTCGTGGGTTCGAGGCCTTCAGGCCTCGTCATCGGCCTCACAGAGTGGCCGAACCCTTGGGTCTTTGCCGTGGAGGTGGTTGGTTCGAGGCCTTCAAGCCTCGGCGTCGGACTCACACAGTCCGCGCGAAAATTTCCGGGAGGGTAAGGCGGCGGGAGGACTCGCCGGCGTCTGAATTCGAAATTGCGCGGGCAGCGCCCCCGCACTACGGGAAAGCTCGGGGAAACGTGTCGCTCCCTTGTAACCCAGGACCAGCCGTCGCCAAGAACACGAGTCCCCCTGACGACACCGGCGACAATCAAACTGCGGCCGCCACACGGCGTGAGCGGCTGACTAGGGCAACACCGTCAGACCCGTATAAGGCAATATTAGAGTCGGGGAATCGAAACGGTCAATTAAAACAAACCCTTTCCCCCTTATCTCACAAGCCCGAGGCGGGTCTTGCCAACGCACTTGCTCCGTCCGCCTCAGCGCGCGCCGTACGTCCGCATCGCAATAGACGCTRTCGTCATCTGCGATGGGGAAGGTCGGYAGCGAGATGAGACGATCGGAGGTACGTGATGAACACGGGCAAGGTCCCGCGTTCCCGGTCATCCGAACCAACACCGAATCCATACAACAATCGTCGCAACTCTTCTTTCTCTAAGGTGGGTGCGTCGAGGGAAGACGACGAAGTCTAAGATCTCTCCCTTTTGCGGGGGCGTCGAGCGCCGACGCAAGCGGTTGACGTCACCGGTACGGGTGCGAGAAGCTCAAAAAACGATGTCTATCAGTTCAAACAGGGAAGCAATCGAGAGACAGAGAGAGAGAGTGAGTTACGCCGAGACCGCGCTCGAGCGCAGGAAAGACCACTGAGGGGAGGGGAACAACCAGATCAACACACATGTACTCCCAAGCGGACGGTCCCCCAGTTTAGTTTCCCCATTCCCGCCCGGAAGAGTACATACACCACCAGCTCCCATCACTCGGGGCTTCACACAAATGACATGCATAGAAAAAGCAGCAATGGAGATAGAAACGAGTCCTTCTTTTACACAAAAA